TAAAACAATCTTAGGAGCACAATGAATATTTTCATCATAATTCAACTGCAAATAACGATGATCACTAAGACTCTCATCCATCAGAACTTGCAGAGCTCCAGAATTGATAGACAAACCTGGTGAGGTCATAACAAGATCAGTCTATACCCTCACCGATGGTAGATTTGAAAGTTGCAGGAAAACTCAAATCATTTAGTAAAATTATATTATTAGAGACGATAAAGTCAAATACCAATCGCCTCTCTTGCATCAATATCTCCTGCGCCCCAGCTTGGATGTTTAGAGTTAAAATCACCGGTAACAATGAATTTATTATAATTTTTCATGACCGGGTATTTGTTTTTACCACCACAAATTTCGAAACAAGGCAAACAAATGCCGCCCACCGTGTCGTTATAACGACCAGGGAAACGAGAAGGGCCGTTGCTTGAAGTTGTGAACGACAGCGGCTGGAATTTTGCACGCCTTTTTCTCATCGAAAAGAATTCGGGCTTAAGTTTCTTGTCGTTCTTGTTTTTTGATGTTTCTGTCGTTCCACCACATTTTCACGAACAAAGCGCCTTACCAAGTTACAACTTTATGTAGCAAATGGAACTCCTATTCAAACTTTTGGTGAACGCCTGATATCTGTTGATTTAGGATTGCACCACAACTTCCAATGGCCATTCACTATTGCTACTGTTTCAAGTTCTATTATTGGCGCAGAATTTTTTCAAAAATTTTCTTTGCTTGCCGATCTTAAAAAATCGCCGTTTGATAGATTCCACAACCAACTTAACTTATCCGGGAGTAATTCGCAATAGTCAAGATTTGAGCATTAAACTGATTTCGGGTAACTCCCCCATGGCATCAACTTCTCAGAGAATTCCCTACAAAACACGCGCCCAGTTATGGGTATTTCCGAACCCAAGCAGGATGTATTACATTATATTGAACTACCGGACCTCCGATTGCCGCTAAACGAAGACGCTTAACTCTGGACAAGCTTAAAGCCGCCAAAGAGGACTTCAATACATGATCGAACAGGGAATTTGCCGTCCTTCAAAAAGTTCTAGGGTCAGTCCGCTCCATCTAGTTCGGAAACGAAATGGTAACTGGCGCCCGTGTGGCAATTATCGCCGGTTAAATGCAGCTACAATTCCTGATCGTTACCCAATCCCTCACATTCAAGGCTGTATGCAAGTTTTCGAGTGAAAAGCTATTTTTACAGCCATTGATCTTGAGCAGGTGTATCACAAAGTGCCCGTTAAGCCAGCTGATATTCCAAAAACTGCGGTTATTACGCCTTTTGGACTATTTGAGTTTCCGGTCATGACTTTCGGCTTATGCAATGCTGCTCAAACATTCCAACGCTTCATGAATCAGGTGCTTAAACGGCCTCGACTTTTGTGTACCTTATTTTGATGACGTCTTAATCGCCTCCTCTTCAGAGCAAGAACACCTTTCACGTTTGAGAACAGTTTTTGAACGTTTTCAAAGGTACGGTGTCAGTCTTAATCCTTCCAAATGCCGTTTTTGGCCAGTCAAGAGTATCCTTTCTTGGTCATGAAATTTCCTCTGATGAGATTCGACCCCTTCCAGATAGAGTCACCGCTATCCGCGATATGCCCGAACCATCTACAGTGAAGGACTTACGACTTAAGAAGATTTCTTGCTATGCTCAATTTTTATCGACGTTTCTTACCTCATGCAGCAACCATACAAGCACCTCACCTCTAAATTCCTTTTTGGTTGGAATCAAGAAAAACGATAAACGTGTTATAACCTGGACCACAGAATCTCGCGAAGCGTTAAAAAAATGCAAAAATGATTTAATTTCGGCAACAAATTTGCAGTATCCTTCCGCATCTAAACCATTATCACTCTATGTTTATAAGGAGAGAGACTTCCCCGCTTTCCTAGCATGCTTTCGTGGTGTAGTGGTTCTACACGCTGGGCCGGTACTCCAGAGGTCCGCGGTTTGATTCCCGGCGAAGGCGATTTGCTATTTTTTCAATCTCTCTTGCTTCCAAATAACCTAATGTCTCTACAGTGGCGCCCAAAATAAAAGGGTGTTGAATGAGGATTCTCCACACCCAGGATTTGGCGATTGCGGCCCCTAAAAACCCCCCCAGTCGCCCTTTAAAAAGGGGAGTTTATAAGGTATTTCTCCCGCTTTCCTAGCGTGCCTTCATGGTGTAATGGTTCTGCACGCTGGGCCAGTACTCCAGAGGTCCGCGTTTCGATTCCCGGCGAAGGCGTTGCATATTTTTCATCTCTTCTGCTTCCAAAAAAATAACCTAATATCTCTACACGTTGACGCATCAACGACAGGTATAGGAGCACTTTTAAAACAAAAAGGTCAAGAATTATGGAAACCACTTTCATATTTTTCTAAAAACCTCTCACTAGCACAAACCAGATCGCGAATTATTAGGAATTTATGAAGCTGTCAAATATTATCGGCATATGCTATAGGGACGCGTTTTCATGATCTTCACAGATCACAAATCCTTAATCTATACTTTTCAGCAGCGTTCGGATAAAGCTTCTCCTCGTCAAATGAGACACCTAGACTTCATAGGGCAATTTTCAACAGATATCCGTTATATTGCGGGTTCGCAGAATATTGTAGCAGACATCTTGTCTCGTATTGAAGAACTAGCCGTTCCTTCGCCAATAAACTTTGCTGCCCTTGCGGATGAACAACACCGGGATTCAGAACTACAAACCCTCTTGAAAAGCAATCTATCTTCCACCAATCTCAACTTGCAGCCTATGCAGCTGTCACCCTGGAAAATCACTTTATTGTGATGTTCAGGATTCAAGATTTCGACCTTATGTTTACCTCCGTGTTTCACCATGCCATTTTTAGTCAGTTACATCGTCTGTCACATCCTGGCATCAAGGCTTCAAGGAAACTGATATAGCAAAGTTTTCGTATGGAATAGCATGCAAAAGGACATAGCCAACTGGACACCATCATGCTTGGAGTGCCAAAGATCTCAAATTGTCAGACACACCACCAGCCAACTTAAAAATTTTAATTTGTCCTCATCTCGCTTCAATCACGTGCACCTCGACTTGGTCGGGCTCTTATATTTATTAATAATTAATATAATACATGAATAAAATTAATTATTATGTATACATTTTTTCTTACCTTGAAAATTTAGAAGCAAATTTATCATTTACTTCATCAAAGTAGATCCTTTCAAATTTTTCTCTTTCCACACTTAAAAATGCTAGATGACTTAGGGGGATCTTGTCCCACACCGTTGATTGTAAATATGTGAAAATTTATTTTAATTTGCTGAACGAACGTTCATAGTAAGTAGTATTTAAAGTGCGACTCTTAGGTTTGGAAAAACATATTCCCTATAGATCTGCAGTGGAGTTTTAGGTTCTGTTTCTTTTCTTTTCTACTACGGAGTAACGTCATGCAGTCACATTCACTGCTCAAAACAATTAGGGTGTATTGTGGGTTCGGTATGAAATAACCATATAATCGATAACATTTTTGAACAAAAGAAAATAGAAGAGATTATAAAGGAAAATTATATAACGTTTACAAGTTGGGAATATGCAAATTTAGTCTGTGACGTCGAAAACTATGCGTTTTAGATAAGGAGTAAGGAACGACCTGCAGTATTCCTTTTGTAAGAAGATTAAAAACAATTCACATGCGTTGAATGCTTCGTAGCAGTGAATATACGACATCTCAGCAAGATGACTTAGTTGAATCAGTAGCCAGGAAGGCCATCAGACGTTTACAGGAGAGTCGAACGCAATCCATTGCAGCGGAAGCGTTACGAATCTCAAAAAATGTCATTTCCAGATTATGGAATCGGAATTTGGAAACTGGATATATTTGAGAAATTCGGGACAAGGTCGTGTTATTGTTTTAAAATAAAAAGCGAGAGATATACGTGCATTTCGTTTAAATATATATCTCTACTTTGGAGAAATAAAGTGGTCAGAAAGAACGTTTTGGTTGATGTACTGCAAGCATTTTATTACACAATCAAGAAAATAAATAATTAATTATATTCAATAGTTATTAATTTAAATATATTTTCCAGGATCGATCAAAATAAAAACTGAAATTTTCCGGAAAATCTTGTTTGGAGACCATTTGGCGCCCCTGTACGAGCGGCGCCCGGGGCATCATGCACCCCCTTGCCCCCCTCTCGCTACGCCACTGAGCAGAGGCATTGTTTGCATAGTAAAACATTAATATACAGACATCTAAAACACTAGAAATGTCAGATTTTTTAACTTAAAATGAACTTAAATTAACAAATGTTATACGTAAATATAATTTCAATTCTAGAGTATATATCTGATCCTTCATTAACACTATTGAGTAAATGCTTAGTCACTTTTGAGAATAAGTAAAAGTACTTTGAGCGGAAAAGCTGTGCAATTGATAAAACTAAAAGACCCGTTCTATGGAGACACATCAGGAGACAGACAAAGTAATTTACCTAATTTACCCAATAATTACTGAAATTTAAAACGTTCGAAATCATTTGTAGAAATAATTGTGACAATGATAGGATTTTACTGATCAAGATATAAATTTACAGTCTAAAGTATAATAATAAATATTCAAAGCAAAAATTTGGAAACTGATAGATTACTTTCAAACAGCATTTAAAGCTTGAATATTTTGCACATATGCATGTCATAACATATTTAATCGACCATTGACATCCGAATAAATCAATCATTTAATATAAATAAATGTAATATTTAGAGCTAATCATTGAAAATTTAATCTTTTGATTGACGAGAAGACAAATTAGATGATTTGCAAAAAGATCTATTTGGACTTAAAAAGACTGAATTAAATAAATTATCATTATTGCTAAATGTTTAAGAGTTCAAAATGCTTCACATTTTATTTATATAATAATATTTATATAATAAACTGATGACCAGGCATGAATTTCTTAAAACTAGCATACAAAAGTTAAGCTGTAGTACTTATTTCTGAAACAAGTAAAAATATTCCACACCTAAGAAATGCAGCTGCTGGGTTTCTTCTGGTGTCGGTCTGTCTTGAACTACATGCAACTTCTGGGCCAATTCATGTCGACCACCAGTAACTACAACGTATGTGACATAGGGAAAGTCGGCTGAAATCAGAAAAAGTCATAAGAAATTTGGACATTTATTAAACTATACTTTTTTAAAGAATGAATACGGACATTTGCTTGAGATAAATTCTACAAAAGACGTTAATTGCTGTCTATAATTGTACTCGCAAAGTAAAACTCTCTTATACGAAAATAAAATCATTACCATGCTTTTCAAAAGTGCCAATTGAATTGTCTGGTTATTTGCTACAAATGTTTTGTCTTAACTTCTACTTAAAACGTCTGTTGAGGGGTAAACGTTCCCTGTCAATACTATCTTAGATTTCAGGACTGAGTTTCCATTTTAATTTTCAGAATTCTTAATTGTGCATTAGTCTTCATCTAAAACGATGTTTCCCAACGTGGGGCACATGGTCCATAGGGGGCAATTCGCAAATGGACTCGTCCAGAGTTTAAGGGGACAAAGGACATTAAAATTTCCAAATTTTCTTCATGTAGTCGAAACTTTATTTTTTATTCCCAAAAATAAAGAATAATGTAAGAATGTATACGTCAAAAAGCTTTTAAAGTGCGGTGCATTTAAAATATTTTATGGAGAATCTTCGTTGTAGAGATGGACACTATTCCTTTGTAAAAGGATTTGTGATACCGCTTATCACTTAGTGTCGAAGGAGCTGTAAAATGTATCCTGATGTAGCCTTCAATAGGAAAGCTGTTAGAAAGGTTAGCATAGAACCGTACTATTATACGAAAGAAAGATTATATGAAGAAAAGACACGCACATACTTATATATATAACAAGACATACACACACCCACACACATGAAGTTGTACCGTATTGTAGCTTTCCGTAGGAAAGATATTGGAAATATTAGCACCTCAGAATTATACTACTGTATGCAAGGAAGATTTTACGAAGAGAAGACACACACTTATATGTGGTGATATGCTTCTTTTTATAAGTAAGAATGGCAATGCGCTCTCCAACAAGATCACGTGACCACTTCTCAAAGAGACGCGAGACATGAGCAACGATGAAGTTTATAAAAATTCAAAGAACAGTGAATTATGATTATTAGGATGTTATTCCGCATTTATGATGCTATGGACTGACTTTTTCTTCTTATTTCTTTTAATTTTATGTGTCATCTTTATGTTAATTACGTTTGTTATGTTCGCGTGTTTTCGTAATTAAATTACTAAATGTTACTATAGTTTGTCATCAATAAGACTGTTGCTACAGTTCGTAAGTACAACTACATCCTACATGTGGGCTCGACTCTTTGAACTCTCTCTTCATTAAACTAGCTAGACTCAAATTAAAATACTGTAAATAACTATAATACAGTATCGTGGATAACCATAATTCTTTAGTGGATAACATCATGGATAAATTTAGTGGATCGTGGATAACCATAATTACATAAAAGCAAAGAAATTCTAAGGATAGTATCCTTTAGTTTTCCGAAGGAAAAACTCTGAAAAATGAAAAAGGGAGTTTTTCATACAATGATCTTGATGAAGAGATGCTAGAACCCTCTATCTGGGAAATTTACCTGGTGATATCACTACAGAAGAAATCAAAACTTTATCTTCTGATATTTTAGATGTTGCTGTGCCGAAAATGTTTCAAAAAGAAAATATACGACAATATAATAAACGTCGCAAACCTGCCTGTAAATACAACCTCGGACCTAGTGGCAATACAACGCACCCAGTTTGGACCTGGACTGAAACTTCATCCCAGATTGTTCGGTCCTTATGAGATAACGAAAGATCATCCATCTGACGGTTACGAATTATGAAAGATAGAATAGCATGAAGGCGCCAGCATAACGTCAACCGCTTACTGATAAGGTGAATAAACTGAAATTCACCACCAAGAAATTGATTGTTTTTTCACTTTTTCTGCTTGTTTTGTTTTTTCAGATTTCTTGTCTTCTTCAACCAGCCGTGTAATGATACGTTTCTTTTTGAAAGAAAGAACGGCAATGCGGTTACCAACAAGATCACGTGACTACTTCTCAGAGACACGCAAAACATGAGCAACGATGAAGTTTATAAAAACTGAAAGAACACCGAATTATGATTATTATGATGTTATTCCGCTTTTATGATGCTATGGACTGAATTTCTTTTCTTATTTCTTTTGATCATGAGTCATCCTCGTATTAATTACGGCTGTTATTTTCGTAATTAAATTATTAAATGTTACTACAGTTGTCATCAATAAGACTGTTGCTATAGTTTGTAAGTACAACTACATCCTACATAAATTTCTCTCTATATATATGTTATATGAATCTTACATAATTCTGATGATATAAACGGAACTAAAACTCTTAACAGCCAATAATAATTTTACAGCAATATTAACCATCCAATCAGAATGCTTTGAGAACCAAAACTAACTCAATCTGACTTCAGGTTTCATCCTGAACATTACGCACTTGCTTTCCACGCTTTGTCCTGGCTACACTGCTGTCTGTCTGCCTCTTCTTTTTTTGCTACAAAGTTATCGAAAATGTAAGTCTTTTGGAACAGGCACATTTAATATGCCGACTTGTGTGTAACGGAAACATGTTGCCAAAAATAAAACTGTAGATCTTCAAATTCTGCTCGTCATTACTTCTAAGTTTGTTTCTGCTCCCGAATATATTACAACTGAGTCTCCTCCTCCTGCTCTTCAATTACTTCTGACTTTGTTTTTATTACATATATATCTGGAATATATGTATATATATTATATCTATATATATCTATCTATCTATCTCTCTCTCTTTCTCTCTCTCTCTCTCTCTCTCTCTCTCTATAATATATATATATCTATCTATCTATCTATCTATCTATATATATATGTAGGGGATTATAAATTGCTTTAACAAATTGAGAGGAGTGATAGTACTCATCCAGATGAGCAATAATTACCATAGAACATGGTTTCGCATTCCACTCTTGAGAGGCAGAAAAGTGGATTATTAGAATTCCAACTTGAACTTACAACAGTATTGGGAGAGCGAATAAACGAGACCAAAAGTTGCATAATTATTTTAGTGAAAAACTCACAGAGAGTGCACAAAACGGATAAAACCGAAAACTTGGCGTTCGAGCTCAGACATTGATGGCAATCACTCAAATGCACATCTTTGGTTCGCATGTTCTCAACCTCGCAGACGATTGCAGCAAGTTAATTATCTAATCAAGGCCTGAATATTATCTACTAACTCCAATTTCCGCTGCATGCCGAGATTAGAATGAAAAGTGCATGCTGTGTTCTGGCTGTCAGAACTTCGTATCCCATAGAAAGAATCTTCACCTAGAATGAGCGTGGCACAGTTAAGTCCAGGACTACAGGATAACAAGATGGCGAAGGGGGAAAAACTGCTACCTGGATAGTATCAAACCTACCTTGAGTTGGAGTTAGTTGATAATATTCAGCCCTTGAATAGATAATTAACTTGTTTCAAATCGTTTGCGAGGTTGAGACCTTGCGAACCAAAGATGTGCATCTGAGTGTTTCCTACCAAAGTCTGAGCTCGAATTAACACTCGAAAGCCAAGTTTTCGGTTTTATCCGTGTTAAATAGAAAAAAATTTATATTGGTGTTTTAATACCTTATTCCTTTATAACTTAAACTTAACTGACTGACTGTGGTGCCGGATAAATTAAAAAAAAAAAAAAAATTACATTCCAAATCTAATTCATAATCTTCATATATCATATCGACATTCTTAAAAACATTCGTATAGTGGTAGTACAATTTAAGTTTTAGGTTTGCGTTGTGAGTAACCTATGCCAAGGAAAAATCAATAACCCCAAATTCAATTAAACTCCATGTTTCTTGATCAGTATCCCCTACCACATATTTTTACTATGAAAATATCGCATCTGTTACACAAAATACAGCTTTCAACAATTAAAAGTTAACATTTTTTTTTTCAAATTAAGTAGGTGTAACAAAATTTTATCCTCCAAATAACAAGTTCTAATTAATTAGAAAGTAACGTTTTTCTAGCTCACAAAATTCAGTAGGTGAACCAAATTTTAATCCACCTAAAACTGGCATTCATTTGAAATTATAAATAACTTCTCAATTTTTCTAACTGTAATATTTAATTTATATAAGTAATAACAATTTACAGGTAGATAAATCATTATTAACTGTTCTGCATTCGGGAAAACTAAGAAAGAGAGAGAGAGAAAATATACTTAAAAATTTCACTCACAGATGGAAAACAGTTTTTCCTGATTAGCAGGATTCTTAGTGTCCAATCCAAATGGAAATGAGCCCAGCCCATTTTTCTTTCTGTGACAACCCTTACTGAAGCGTCTAAAAATCATTAGGGATCAAGAGTGGAAATTACAGTCTAATAATTCTTCAAACAGCCAGGAATCGCTTTATCTGTCCATAAGGTGGGAACCAATAGTCCAATTTAGAAGGATCTTTTATCTGTCCATTAGATGGGAACCAATAGTCCAATTCAGAAGGCACTTTATTTCAATTCAATAACAGGTAGCTGAATATACACCAGTTTTTAGCACAATCACGTGCATCATCGAAGCGGCGAGGCAGCATTTATGCTGAATGTTTCGGAAAAAGGCTCTTGGAGATTAATCGGCGATTCAGGTGAAGAGAGAAAATCTGTGCTAAATTTTCTTGGTAGATTTTTCTCTATACATCTCAATCAGCTCTCAGTAAAAATGCTCTTTGCAGCTCGCGCACATTTCTTTAGACATCTCGCAGGAAAATGTTCCTTGCATCTCTCACACGAAACTTAACATCTCACAGAAAAGAATGAATCCACTAGAGCAAAGAAAAACGGTACCCAGTCCCTCTTGCTCAGGAAGTCCGCAGCAGAGCAAAGCGCCCCACGATCTTTCTTTCTCTTTCACATCGTGGCTGCCCAAAATTCACTCAAATCAGACTCCGCTACAACCATCACCGCAGCCCGCTGGTTCAAGTGGTTCGCGGGAGCAAGACCCGAAGGGCCAAGCCCCCACTTTTTTTCTCCTCTTACTCTTCTTGAAAATCAGAATCA